CTCGATGCTTGCGCACCCTCTTCTTGGAGCCGTACCCCTGCAGGCCCGCCGCCACGTTGCGCGCCACGAGACTGGGGTAAGTGGGCCCCACCAGCGTGTGAGGCCTCTTGAGCCTGGCGGGCCGCCGATCCACGCTAAGGAGCAGTGATCGAGGGCAGCGCACCTGATGAGCAAGCCCAGGAAAGTGCTCGTCCAGCAGCCCAGCCAGGTCGACGACGGCGGCGCGGTCTGGCACTCCGCCACGCTCGCCGAGGGGCTCCGCGACGCACCTGGACGGCTCGTAGCCGTCGGAGTGGCGCAGGACCTCTTGAATTGTCGCCGCCTCTGGCCAAGCCAACTCGGCCGCGAGGAAGCGGGAGACGCCCATCAGCATGCGCCTTTGCACACGACGCTGGGCTTGCGTCGGCAACATGGTGTAGTCGCCGTCTCCGTCGTACAGATCGTTGAGCGCGACGATGCACATGTTCGCCCAAACCAAAATTGCGCCCCGGTACTGCCGCCCGAACTTTGCGAGCTCGGCGTCACCACGCCGCAGCAAAGGGACTGGGAAGATGCCTGGCGAGGCCTTCCCGAACTCCACGACACGCGGCCGAACGAGGTGCCCACGGCGTAGTGGCAGCCCCAGCGGCCCTCCAGCGAAGCTCAGCCAGTCGCCCAGACCGACCAAGACGGAAGCCAACGTGCACTCCTGGCCTCCGCGGCGCAGCCACCTCTGCCGCGCCCTCCGCCACCTCGTCACATGGTGAGCTTCAAGAGGCCGCCTGCAGCGACCCCGCCCCCCGTGCCAGCCAGCAGCTCCGCGGCCTCGGCCTTCTCCCAGGAGCCGCCCTTGGCCTTCGCCCGCTGGATCGCGATGATGCGCTGCGCCAGCACGTCCATCGCGGTCGCCAGGTCCTGCGCGTTGATCAGGTCCATGACGAGCGCCAACGTCTGCACCTCGCGCTGGTCCCGCAGCTCGGTCAGGCCCGAGTGTGCCTGCGCCCACGTCGTCACCGACGCGCGCCTCAGCTGCTTGGTCTCCGTCAAGCGCCCGTGGCTCAGCTTGCGGTGCACCATCGCCAGGAAATACCCCGAGAGTGCTCCTGGGTGCTTTGCCGCGAACGCCAGGAGGTCGCCCTTGGCCTTGAACTTCTCGGTCTCCAGCTTGCGCTCCTGGGCGGGGTCGACCCGACGGCTCTTGGCCTTGGGCCCGCGCCACCGCAGGTAGTCGCTGCTGCTGGAGGAGCTGCTGTCGCTCGAGCTTGTCGAGCCGCTGGAGTCGGCCCTCTTCTTCTTCTTTTTCTTATTCTTCTTCTTGGTGGCAGACTTCTTGTCTTTCTTCTCTCGCTTGCTGTTCAGGCCGCCCCCATCCTGCAGCTGGCCCTGGATCGCGCGGACCTCCTGGAGCAGCGACGCCAGGTCGATGCCCGCTGCGGGGGCGGCTGCCGCCCCGTCGGGCGCTCCCACGGCGCCGAAGCCCAGACCCGCGGCAGCCGCGGGCCCCGCCACGCCCGCGGCGGGTAGCGCAACCGCGCCCGCGGGCGGGGGCGCCGCTGCGGCTCCCGCGGCTCCCGCTGCTGCTGGCACGACGGCCCCACCCCCTGCAGGTGGAAGAGGGCCCCCCACGGGCATGAAGGCGGGGATCGTCGCCGCCTGCGAGCCCGCGTCGAAGATCACCCCCGGCGCCAGCACGAAGGTCTGCAGGGCCGCGTCCACGCCCTGGGCCTCCAAGCGCAGCGCGGCCAGCTCGGCCACGCTCGGGTCCCACTGGACCGCGGCGTGCGGCGGCTCGCACACCCAGTTGACCTGGGCACCAGGAACGCCAAACGGCGGCATGCGGAGACCTCCCCCTCCAGGCACGACCACAGCGCGAAAATGCCCCGGCAGCAGGCGCACCAGCACCCAGACGAACGTGACCCCCGTCGCGTCCGTCGTCAAGCCCAGGCTGTAGTCCGCGCCACGCACCTGCCCGAAGATCAGGACCTCGTCCCACTCGCCGCCGCGGGATAGCAGCACCCAGCACGGGTCCGCCGCCCCGACGGCTACGCCACCTGCAAGCGCCATCTCCACCAAGGCGTACTCGAGAGCGGTTGAAGCGGCTGCGAGCTCGCGAGCGCGTGCGCGGTCGGCCCGACGGGCCGCCCTCCAGCCACGGAGCCCTCCCACGGACTGTGCGCCCAGAGCCCAGGCGGCCCCCAGCGCCGCGCGGCCACGCGACCAGGCGGCTCGGGCTCCCCGTGCCAGCCAGCTGCGATGCTCCCAAGCGAGAGCAAGCAGAGAGCTCGCGAAGGTCGCTGCCGCCTGCAGCGCGCGCCAGCCCCAGCAGGAGGCTGTGTGGGCGGCCTCGCCCAGCGCGGCGACGCCCCGCGCCCCCGCGACAGTCAGCACCCGAGCCGCCTCAGGCCCGAAGCGCCCAGCAGCCCAGCTCGCCAGGTGCCAGGCTACCTGGCTCCAGAGCAGCGCCCCCGAGCCAGCGAGGAGGGCTGATCGCGCGCACACTGCAACCTGGGAGTGGCTCGCCGTGGCGCCCGTTCCGATCGCCGCCAGGCGATCTTGAGCCAGAATATTACGAGCGTGAATCCTGAAAGGGAGGCTGGCGGGACATCAAAGGCAGCCCATTCCAGGAGCACGGACGTCGAGACGAGGCTGGATGAGAAACCTGGCATTCCGAAAACTATCCAGCAAGCTCTATCTATACACACGCTGCACTCTGTTACCGCTACCGATGCCATAAGCCGCTACGCCATAAGCCGACAACAACCGCTGCGCAGGATTGAATGTTGCACAGTGCAGTGCGCTGCAATGCTGTGCTCTGCCACGTGATCTCACGGCTACTGGAGAGGGGGGAGGAGGAGTAGGAGGAGGAGATTGAGGACGAGGAGGAGGAGGAGGAGGAAGAGGAGGAAGATGGAGGAGGAGGAGGAGATTGAGGAGGCGGAGGAGGAGATGGAGGAGGAGGAGGAGGAGGAGGAAGAGAAGGACGAAGAGGTCATCGGCCGACGGAGTCCGCGGGAGGATGTGGAACGGCACGGGGGGGAGCCACACCGGGTGACTTCGAACCTGAAGACTCGGCCCCACCACCCCCAGCCGCCCTCCTCTGTGAATGCCAAGTGCTGCCTGGTAGGGCTTCTGTACTTTCCTCAGTACCCCTCCTCTCCTCGCACCCGGTTGCATCATCCCTCTTCCCGAGGCGACACCCCTTCGCAGCAAAACGACTGATTCGCGCTCCCGAAGCCCAGATGCCTCCAAGACGGCCCAGGATGGCTTCAAGACTGCCCACGAGGCCGTCGAGGCGACCCCAAGAGAGCCCCAAGAGCCTTCCCAAGAGGACCTCAAGAAGCAAACATCATTGAGTTCCCGCAAATTTCTCAATGCTGTTCGGGTTCTCGCTTTTTCGAGCTTCCGACGTCCCAAGACGACCCAAGAGGCCACCAGGACTGCCCCAAGACGGTCCAAGAGGCTCCCAAGAAGGCCCCAAGAAGCCAAGAGGGCTCCAAGACGGCCCCAGAGGCGCCCAATAATACTCAAGAGGGCCCCAAGACGGCCACCGACAATTCTAGCCTTCCAGCCCAAGAGGGCTCATGATGCCCGAAGAGGGCCAAACGAGGCCCCCAAGAGGCCTTCAAGAGGGCCCCGAGTGGCAAAAACAATTTAGTCCCCTTAGCTTTTTCAGTGTTTTGTGTGTGTTCTCACCTTTTCGAGCTTCCGACGCTCCGAGACGACCCAAGAGGCCTCCAAGACTCTCCTGAGCCGGCCCAAGAGGCCCCCACAAGAGCTCCAAGACTGCTCAAGATGGCCCACTAGGCGCCCACGACAGCCCAAGGGGGCCCAAGACGGCCCCAAGAAGGGCCCGAGAGTGGGAATACGAACCAGAATTCGAACCTTCTGCCCCAAGAGGCCCCAGCAGGTCCCCTTGCCTTCTCAAGCAACTGCCACCCAGAATGCTTCGCTGGCACGGTGGCCGAAATGCCGGAACCAGCTGGATAGCCCCCTATTGCGCAACGCCCGACCAGCCCCTTTTCCTCTCGGCCCCCCTGCTAAGGCTTGCCCTCAGTCCTCGGTAGTGGAAGTGTGTGGTTTTGGGCGTCTGGGGCAAGTGTGATTTGGATGTTTTCTTGCGGCTCCTTGGGTTTTTGGATGCGATGGGTCAGGACTGGGGACGGCACTGGAACCTATCACCTCCCTCTCCCCTCCCCCCTGCTCCTCATTCTCCTCCTCCTCCTCCTCCTCCTCCGCCTCCTGCTCCTCCTTTTTCTGCTCCACCTCCCTTTCCTCCTACACCTCCCTTTCCTCATCCTCCTTCTCCTCCGTTTCCGCCTCCTCCTCCTCCTCCTCCTCCTCCTCCTCCTCATCCTCCACGTCCTCCTATTCCTCCTATTCCTCCTCCTCCTCCTCCTCCTCCTCCTCCTCCCTCCTCTCCTCCTCCCGTCCTCCTCCTCCTCCTCCTCCTCCTCCTCCTCCTCCTCCTCCTCGTCCTCCCGGTCCTCCTCCTCCTTCTCCTCCTCCTCCTCCTCCTTCTTCTCAGTCGAGAGGAACCTTTTCCTCCTTCGCAGCTCACGCCGAGCCGCTCCACATCCACCGCCCTCGGGCGCAGGCCGCGCTCCCTGGCGCGCAGCCTCCTGCTTTTGGCCTTGAGCCAAGGCAGCAGCAGGTCGCCGTCGCTGCTCTCGCTCTCGCTCCCTTCGTCCAGCGCCAACCGCCAACGTGCTCCGGAGAAGCGTTTCCGGAGCACGTTGGACGATTCTCGACTCTGGTGGTGAACGTGTTCAAATCGTTGATCTCCAGCTCGAAGTCGTTCTGCAGCGTGCGGACGCTCACGACCTCAGGCTGGTCCAACCAGTTCACGAGCCGATTCACCTTCGTAACCAAGTCAGCATATGCATGCATTCTGACATGGAGAAATCGGCTCTGAGACCCCATCCAAGTGCGTCACGATGTTCTCGATCTTCGGAGCACGCTTCCAGTAGATCTCCAAACCCTCACCGGGTGTAACGTCTTCCACTCACCGCGTGCATCGTCCCTCAGGGCGTCTCGTTGAACACTTCCTTAGGTAAGCCCATCCGCGCAGCAGTCCTGGTGTCGATCCACCACAATGTGCGCAGGATTAGCCTGTCCAGCAACTCTCTGACCCACTGGGCGTGGTACAACGTGTGCCTCTCCTCTGGGATACGCACCTGCTCCGCCGTGATGCCACTGAATACGCTCTGTGCGTCCACGCATGCCTCCAACGGCAGCGCTGGCACCATGCAGCCTTCAGCTCCATCAACCATGTCACGTAGCTGTCGTGCGTCCAGTTCTCCACCTTGTATTTCGGTCATGAAGCCCGCCAGCAGCAACAGATAGTCGCAACCGTCGGACAGCTGGCATAGTTGGGCGCATCATGTCGATCTCACCACGCGCGTCTGCTTCCTCGAGTAGTACTCCAGCACGTTGCATCGGCTTCCTGGTCCTTCACCGTCTTCTACGATTAGATACACAGCACTGCGCATGGCCGAAACCCTTGTCGTCTGGCTCTCTCCTGAAAGCTGCATCGCCAACTGTGACCAACTTTACCGGCAGCTTCAGCTTGTGAGTCGTCAGCGCCAAGGGGTGCTCCTTCATGTACTTCAGCAGCACATTCATCTTCTTGATGTGGCCTACCTTCGGCGCCTTGCCGTGTCTCTGCAGCGCCGCCACGTAGATGTAGATGTCGATCCTCGTCATGATGCGCCACGCGATAGCTCCCAACAGCGAGGGGTACTGGTTCACGTGCCCCGCTGGAGGATCGTCCTCGTCGCCTAAGCCCTGCAAGCCCTTCTCGTCGATGCAGCTGAGGTTCTTGACGTACTCGATCTGGTCAACCTCTATGCTCACGTCGTCCAGCTGTCGATGGCGTAGTCCACAGTGGACGAAACTCTTCTCGTGCATCGCCATCTTTCCGAAGACTGCCTCCAGCGCTGATATCATCTCGTCCCTGGCCTTGTCACGGCCCGCGCACTTCAGGTCGTCAAGATGTGTCGAAGCCACTAGCGTCAGGACCTTCCCCTCGTGCTTCAACCACAAATGCGGGTCCGCGTGAGTAGCACGAAGACCAACCGACAACAGTACTTGATCTCGACGAAGTCCGAACAGTCTCGGCGCGTCGTTCAAGCCGAAGCCGCCCTTCTCCATGTGCAGCACCTCCAACACGGTGTTGAAACCCTCGAAGCCCTCAACCTCGCAGAGAAGCTCCGCCGTGCCCTTCGGCAGCTCGAAGCAGATGTCCCGAATGGACTCGTTTAACAGCTTCGCCACCTCCTCGAACGTCATACCTTGGAGAAACGCCGAAGATATATCGGCACTGCGCATTTTCCACTGATGTTGGGCGGCAACTATGTTGACCATTCTCTGACCCCATCTCGTACTCGTCGCCGTAAACGTCTTCACCTCATCTTTGTGTCGGTCTTTGAATCCGCGTACCGTCAGCCTGCAGCGTATTATTCTGACCATCGTGCCGTCCGATGCTTGAGTCCACTTCCACTTGTCAACCCACTTCGCGTCGATCAAGTTGTTGGCGCTCTTGCGCGAAATTCTCGACATGGCCTTGAAGCCAGCCCAATGCCGTAACTCCTTCAACCTTGCTGCTCGTACTGCTTCTCGATGTTCGGTCTTCTCCGCCGCCGTCAGCAAGTTTTCGTCGCGCTCGATCACCGCCTTGGCCGTGCCGTCATCGTAGAAGCTCAGAATGACCATGTCGTCCTCGTGTGAAGCTTCTCCGGTAATACGTGGCTCATTCAGCATCTTCCAGGCCTCCGCTGCGAAGCCGATAACCTTCTCGGGTTGCAGGGACTCTTGGATATCTGCCGCCATCTTGCCGTAATTCGCCTCCTGTGTGACCCAGGCCTCCAGAATGTCATAGTCCTTGATCACATCCGTCCTATCTATCATCGAAGTGTCCGGCTCCTCTGTTAAGTAGCCCGCGTACTCCATGATGTCCTCCTCATCGCTCTTCTCCTTGCTGTCCTTCGGCATGTTCCACATGGCCTCTATCGAGAACAGCTCGTCCAGACTCTCGTCGCGCTCCTCCTCTGCGTTAACCTCCTCGTTGGCTACCTCCTCGGGTGCTGGTGCCGCAGGTGGTCCAAGTCCGGGTGGGGGTTCAGGTAGTGGCGCCGGTGGCGCCTCCTCGGGCTCGTCCGCGAGCCTCCTCGACACGTGCTCGGCAGGGTTCTCGGAGCCCTGGCATCCGGCCGAGCGTGGACGCTTGGGAATGGCTCGATGTTTTCGCCTCCAAGCATCGACACCTGGTAGATGGGGTCCTCCAACATGTGGTACCTGTGGTGCTTTTCCTTTTAGCACGTCTAATACGTCCGGCCCCACCGTCAGTAACTGCATGAAGTAGGATGCGCTCCAGTCCTTCTCGCCGAAGATCTGCCTGAGGCTCAGATGTTCTGATGCCACTCCTTCGCCGTAACACATAGCTTCCACTCCAGTGTCTCCTTTACCTTGGCGTCTCGGCAACCACCAACACATCGTGTAAAACTCGAAGTCGTGCAGACCTGGCAGAGTCGGCACCTTCTTACCAACTCGAGCTGCTACCACTCCATTGAGATGTAGACCGCAAAATGCCACCTGGAACATCGCAGCCACCACGTGCGGGCACTTCTGCGAAATCTTGGTGAGCGTCCAACCCCCAGAACCAATGGCCCAGCCCAAGTGCTCGAAGCCCTCGGCGGTGGCACGAAGTCGATCAGCGTCTGCGCAGGGTCGCTCTCACTGGATCCGAAGACCACAGGGTAGACGAACAGGATCGCTCTCCTCACGTCCGTGGCCTTTATCGCTAAGTCCCTGCCCTGCCAGTTCACCGTCAACGTGCCTGTTTCGGGTGCCGCCGCTGATACTACGGTAGCTGGTCCCTTCCAGCTCGGTACATCCTTAGGTGCCTCCCCTGGCTTGTAGAAGTCCACGGGGTCGCCGATCTCGAGCTTCCGGTCCTCCATGGTGGGCGCCGCCATTGACTTCGATGCTCTTTCCATCCTAGCTTGCGCTGTCGCCTCGATGATCGAAGTAGTCGCGATTTCTCGAAGTCGTTGAGCGTGCCGAAACATGGCCATACCGTCTTCATCATCGTGTTCTTGAGCTCCACTTCGGTCGAAATCTCGAAGCATGAGCCTTATACGGCGTGCCCTGGCCGATGGTCAGGAATGCGTTCTTCACGTAGACTGCCTCCGCCAACCTCCTTGCGAACGGTACCTTGATCTCGCTCTCGCGGCACTGGGCGTCGATCAAGTGCAACTGCTTCCGCAAAATCTCGTGGTGTGGTTCAACTACTTGCGCGTGCTGGCCAGGCGCCTTTAGTTTCCTGGTGGTACCCATCCTTCCAAGAGCGACTCCAGCCTCCTCGGATGCCATGGCTCCTTCGCCGTCGACCGTGAGCACCGCCATGGGGCCGAACATCTGTATCCAGCCGGCCCAGATGAAGTCCAGGAGAGACTCCAGCGTCCTGTCGGTCAGCTCGCGCGCCACTGTGAAACGCATGCAACCGTCGCATAGATGGCCGACCACGCGCCTCTTGTAGAACAGCAGGTCCACCTGCACCTCGTCGTTGAACTCCGTGCTGAGCTTGACCGTGGTCGTCGGCTTGTTGCCGCCTTTCATCCAGAGCCTGCAGACCCTGCAGGTGTCCACGATGTCGTCCACCATTTGGATGACCTTCGGCGGCCCGCCCGCCGCGGTGAGCATGCGCTTCATGGCCTTCTGTTGGCGTGGAACCATCGTAAGTGTAGTCGTCGAAGTACTCTTCTCGAGACCGCCTCGTTGTTCCTGACAGCGCCGTCTCGCCGAACCTAGATCCCAGCTTGACCGGTCACCTTCCATGCCTTCATCGCCTTCACCTGCTTGAGCTGGCGGCCTAGCTCCTTCATCGGGCACGTCTTCAACGTCGACAACTCCGCCAGGTCGTGGAACTCCAGCTCCGGGAGCTGGACCTCGAGAAGCAGCTCGAACAGGTCGGCGTCCTCCTTCGGGTCTAGGTGGTCCAACTTCCGTAGCCCATCTGCACTGTCCTGCTATAAGTGCATGTCCTGGTTCCGTCTCAGGCTTGCCCCTCGCACACTGCTTGCACCTCCAAGTCCGAACGCCAGGCGTAGCTATCCGACACTCCCCAGGAACTCGTGAATGTGCAACGTGAGCGTCTCGTGCCCTAGCTCGCGCCATTCTCGGGTGTCGTAGTGCGGATTGCGCCGGTGGCGCTGGTACGACAGCTCCGGCCGCTGGCGCCGCTGGCGCTGATGATGAACTCGGAGATGCCGCCTTCGATGTTAATCTCGGCCGTCGTGCCGGGGCCTTGGGCACAGGTGCAGGTAGTGCATCAGGTGCTGCAGCAGGTGGGCCGTCTGGTCCATGATATGGGCCTCGTTCTCCAACCGGCGCCGCTGCTGCTGCGCCCGGAAAGGCGCCGGTGGTCCCCAACGTGCTCCGGGGAAGCGTTTCCGGAGCACGTTGGCGGCTAGTGGTCTGCAGGTAGTGCATCGCGCTGGAGTTAGCCTTCGCAGAGATGTAGTCCGCGATGCCGTTGGCGATGGCTACCGCAAATGCCCAAGGCCAAAACCTCGCCCTCTCAGTCTCTTCTCTTCCTTCTATCGCGTCGTGTTCGTGTCCTCCGTCGCATTGAAAGTCCGCAGCGCGTTGGATCAAGGCTTCATCGGATGCCCAAAATTCTGCTCACCTTCTTATCGGCATGCCCTTTGAATTGGCGAGCCCCGCCATGCAACTTGTCGCCAGGGTTGCTCGTGATATAGCTTGGAGCCAGCGGGGTTCTCATTCACGAAACCACGAACATGCTGAAGTTGATAGAGCGCCATTTCACCGCGCAAGGTAGCCAGAGGCTGGCATCTCCGATAGCTGTCCAACCAACTGTCCCTGGCGTTGTACACGTTAATGCTGGCGAAGCGTCCGTATGGTGTACAGGGCGGAGACATGACCACCACCATCACTCCCCGCTCCAAGTATTGCCACAACGTCCACTGCTCCTTCGTGTCACAAAGATCCGAGCCGCATATGATATCAAAGTTGGGGCCCCCTCTGCACTTACGCCTTGTGCATATTCTACTCACAAAGCCTTGTCCTCCACAAATCTCCAAGACGCCCATGCCCGAATATGTCCTCGCCAAGAAAGCCACAAGATGAGAAAGACTTGCAGCTCTGCGAACTCCAGGACCTTCATACCAAGTAGCTCCATCATCGTCTGCAACTCCTCGAAGACAGGAAGCGAAACAAGACTCCTCGTAGAACTCCTCCTCAGCGAACAACGCCAGGTCGTCGTCATCATCCGAGCAGGCCTCGTAGTCCTCGTAGATGGTGAACAGTTCCGTGCTCATATTGAAGCCGCTGATGCTGTCGCCGCAATCGTCGAAGTGGTTCTCGATCTCGAACTTCCGCTTCTGCGCCTCCTTCGGCTTGTCGACCAAGCTCTTCATCTTCGCTCTCATCCTGGCCTCCGTGGGGTATGAACTCTGGTTCTTCAGGATTCCCGTAATCTTTACCTCGTTGTTGTTGCTCGACTCTGGTGGCGAACGGTTACCCTCAGTCCTGCGGGCGTCGTTGATCTCCTTGAACATCGCCACCAAGTAGTGCATGTGCTGCTCTTCGCGATGTTGTCGTCGTAGATCGTCGCCTGATGAGCTCTTCCAATCATTATTGTGCTTGCGCCCTTTGCTGTAACATATGCATGATTGCGCTCGTAGGGGAAAGGACGACTGCACTCGATCAACTTTGTCACTCCAACCTCGCTCACCGGCTACATCAGGAAGAGACCGTACATCAAAAGAACACCAGTGGATCTCCACCTCGCGCGGCACCTCAGCACGAAGTCGTAGTACCGCGGGGTCCGCCCACATCGAACTGGCACGCTCAGCTACTAGCATGACAGCTCCGCCTCCAGCCACTTGAGCTCGAACACACTCCGCAAGACTACGTAGTCGCTGTTGTGGTCGCTGTCCTCGTTCAGCTCCTCGTCGTCCTGGAAGATCTGCCCAAAGTAGCTGGAACTTGCCTTCGGTGAGGTTCCGCTTCAGGTCGCGGGACTCCTTGCCGAACGCCTGGTCTTAGGCCAGCACCTGAGTAACCGGCCAGCCACCTTCGCGCGCGGCTCGCATCGTAGTGGCCAGACCGAGTCGATGACCAAGTACTTGAAGTTGATGCGGCGTCGCCTCATGGCGTCCAGCAGCTGCTCCTGCCGCCGCGGCAGGAGCCCTGCCCCGCCAGTTGAGCTCCGGGGCAGACGCCCAGTCGGGCGTCTCCTCGAACTGCACCTCCTATCGCGGCGTCTTCGGGTGGCGCTGCTCCAGGCTGTCCACTATGAAGTCCACGCGCTCGGTCTTCGGCTGCAGCCTGTCGATCGGGTAGCCTGTCCCACTCGAAGAAGATGCAGCCGCTTCCTTGAACTCGGAGCACGGTAGAGACCAATGTCCGCTTCTCGTGCCCTTCAGGTCGTAGCTCTTCGCGCCCGCGGGAAGCTCCAACTTGCGCCGTCCAGGTCCGCAGAGATGTAGTATTCCAGGTCCGCACTCGATGATCGCGTCCAAGCCCTTCATCGAGCTGTTGCCGAGCAGCGCGGGGACGTCGCTGCCTGGTATGACCGGGGCCGTGTACGAGTCCAGGTTACCGACGCCGTCCTCCTCCTGCTCGATCTCCTGTGCCCCTATCGGCAGCTTCCAGTTCTCATGGCAGTAGTCTGGGCCCTTTCCGACTCCATGAGCTTCAAGTGGTTCTCGTAGTGGTGCTACTTGTGTGGCATGTCCATGTCGTGCTGCTTTATCTGCTTGCTGCTTGGCCCAGTTCTCGCCCATCAAGTTGCCGTGCGCACCTGAGTCTATCAGGATGCCCATCTCGTCGTTCTCGAGCCTAGTCCTCTCGTGGCCCAGGTAGTGCGTCTTGCTCTGCACGTCCAGCGTCCAGACTACGCCGCGAAAGTCTCCTTCGTTACCGTCTGCAAAGTACACGCCCGCGTGCTCGTCGTAGCCCTCGCGCTGGATCTCCCCCTTCGCGTCCGCGTCCTGGCTCTCTAGGTCCTCCTGGTGGCCCTTCGGATCCATGCACTCCATCTCCTCGGGGTCGTACTCGGTCTTCTCGTCGCAGTCGTGAACCTCTGCGCTGCCGACCGCGTCGCCGATGAAGTATGATTCCACCTCCGGGTCGAACGTGGACCGGTCGATCTCCTGCTCGATCTCGGCCCCCTGAGGTCCTGCTCCGTCCTGAACGCTTGCCACGCGCCCCCAGCAGGCAGAGGGCGCCTGCGTCGAGCTACTCGGCGGCGTTGCTGTCGTAGGTTTCGACGGGGTCGCCGAAGAGAAGCTCAAGCCACCTATGTTGAAGACCTCCTGTCTCGGCTGTGTCCCGAAGATGTCGGCCGCCGTCGGTGATGCTGATGGTGCCGTCGCAGGAGATGACGCCATGGCTGTGAGACCTGGTACCTGCGGCGGCGCTGGCGGACTCAAGGGCTTCGCCTTTGCGACTCCCGACGCCGCCGACATGGCCGATAGACCAAGGATCTGGTCGAGGCCGTAGGCCGGGCCATCACGATCGAGTCCAGGAGCCTTCGCGACGCTTTCAAACTTCGGGAAGTTCAGCATGGGAAAAGACGGACCTCCACTGGCCGAAGAAGCTTACCCACTCGGGGTCGAGGGTGGCTCCCAGGATGCATGTGGTCGTACTGCTTGAGGTCCAGCTGGTCGCCCCTTCACGTCTTCGATCGCCATCTTCGGCTTTGCCACAGCCGGTGCAATGACCACTCCAGTGAACCCCTGCGAGCCTGTCACTCTCGCCTTGCTCTCGATGGCCTTCGGCGCGTTCTCGCTTGAGGTCTCCGTCGCAAAGAAGCTGATCGAACCTGATCCGCACGTGGGTGCCGATGTCGCCATCGCCGTCGTCGGACTCGAAGCTGCGCCGGCGTTGAAGCCGAACCACGGAACACCAGCGCTCGCCGCTGTCAGCAGCTTCGGACCGTCCACGATAAACGCGCCCTTGCCGCCCTTGCCACCCTTGCCGTTCTGCTTGCGCGGGCAGTCCTTGATCAAGTGGAACTCGCTCTCGCAGCCTTTGGTCAAGCACTTCGTGACCTTGCCGTCGCGGCCGATCGGGTTGCGCCTGCCCTTGCCCTCGAAGTGGTAGCCCTCGCCGCCGCGCTGGCCAAAGGCTCCCCGAGAGGGTATCAGCGAGCCTTTGCCCTGGCTCTTGCCGAAGCGCTGGTACCTCGTCGGGCGGCCCGTGAACCTTCTCCAGCGCTTCTTGCGGAACGCGTAGTTCTGGTACAGGTATTGCTGGATCACGTCATCGTCGTGGCCGACGGTGCCCGGGGAATCGCTGCCGTCCAAGTCCTCACCATCATTGTCGTCCGTGTCGGTGTCGTTCTCCTCCGTCGCATTGCCAAGGTAGGCGCTCCAGGAGCCCGGAGGAGCTGGCGCCGGTGCTGAGGCGGGCGCTGGCGTAGGCGACCACGAGTTGGATGGTGTCCAGCCTGACCCCGAAGCCGACGCTGAGGACTGGAACGTCGCTGCCATCATACCCGCACCAGTGCCGAAACCAGCATCACCATGTCCATCATGCCCTTGAGGAGGGCCGCCACCGCCGAAGTCGAACGTCGGGTAGAAGAAGTGGCCGCCCTTGCCCTTGTTGCCGCCGCGGTTGATGGACATCGGGCCTTTCTCCAGTACGTGCCCGTACCTCCTGATGTACTCCACCAGATCCGAGAACTGCTGATCCGTCCGCGGCAGGTGGCCCCTGAAGTGGATGAGCAGCTCGTTCCACTCCTGCGGGCTGCAGTTCAGGGCGTTGAGCAATGTCCAAGCCAGCCCTTGCGGGCCCATGTTGAAGTTGCCGAGGGTAGCCGCACGCCTTCGCACGACCTCGAACCTGCTCAGCGTCTGGTCGATGTTCTCGTGGCCGCGCCTCGTGAAGCTCAGCAAGTCCTGCGTCGCCCTCAGCTCGGACTCCTCGCCCAGCGGCGCGAACGAGCGCCAGAGCACCAGCAGCAGCATCTGCAAGCCGTTCAGCTGGCGCGCCCCGTTGCCGTCGCCAGGGTCCACGAAGGCGCCGTCGCGCAGCTGGTCCTGCGGGATCTCCCTGGCCAAGCTGCGAGCGGCACCGCCCAAGCGCAAGGCCACCGCCGGGCTCTGCTGCTCGGGCAAGACCGTCCGAGCCGCCGCCGCCGCCCACATGGTCACGTCCGTGAGCCAGTACCTGAACGGGTAGTGCCTGTCCTGCTCAGGACTGCAGGCTGGCGGCACCTTTAGCGAGCCCATCACCTCTAGCTGGATGTTCTCCATCTTGTCGAAGACGTGGAAACACTCCAGCCGATCACGATAGCGGAGATGGCCGGCAGGATGCCGACCTCGTAGTCTGTGCCGCTGTCGTGCTCCACCTCGATGGCGAGCAGCAGCACGTACCAGAGCACCTCGGTGCCCTTCACGCGCAGTGGTAGCGAGCGAGCCCCAGTCCGACGTGGACCGAGGCTCCGCTACCAAGTCGAGAGGAACCTTTTCCTCCCTCGAAGCTCACGCCGAGCCGCTCCACATCCGGCGCCCTCGGGCGCAGGCCGCGCTCCCTGGCGCGCAGCCTCCTGCTTCAGGCCTTGAGCCAAGGCAGCAGCAGGTCGCCGTCGCTGCCCTCGCTCTCGCTCCCTTCGTCCAGCGCCAGCCGCCAACGTGCTCCGGAGAAGCGTTTCCGGAGCACGTTGGACGATTCTCGACTTTCTCCTCCTCCTCCTCTTCCTCCTCCTCCTCCTCCTCCTCCTCCTCCTCCTCCCCGTGCCGACGCAGATCGATACTACTGGCTACGAAGCTAAGCTCAGGGGACGCACGGGGCGCCACTAAGAGTTATCTGAACTCGAAGAGCACCTCTGAGTAGCCTCATTGCCAATGAACGGCCAGGCGACAATGGCTGAGACCCGCATGCAGCTGGGACCCGCCACCCTGCGCGGGCCTGCGGTAGTGCATCAGTGAGTAGGGGATCCTCGTTCGGTCCCTGGCAGGCCAGACTTGGACAACGGCCATAGACGGAAAGGCGCGTTGGGACAAGCAGGCGCACCAATGCAGCCAGGTTCGCCCACGTACGACAGAGTGGGGGTGGGGCTTCCCCAGTCGCTAACGTGAGATGGCTGGGCCTGTCGATTAGGATGGATCGACCACAGGTCGCGGTCGTAGTGACGGTGACTCCCGCGCCGAGGGTACAAAGGCAGATAACTGCGGACTCTCAGTTCACATGTAGCCCTCGGCCTGTCGATTAGGATGGATCGACCGCACGTCGGCGTCGTCGCATTGTTTTCGGGAGTCTGGGTTGGAGGGTTGACGTTGGCTTCTCTGTAGTCGTGGACGGAGCAGCTGTCGTCGAAGCAATCGGCGCCTTTGCGTCTTCACAGTGAAGGAAGAGGTCTCTCACGACACGCACTGCGACAATGCAAGAGGCTCAGGCTAGGATGATTACCTCCCACGCCACATGCACAAGGCAGAGAGCCAAGGACTCCAAGTGGACGTATAATTCCCAGTCTGCCGATTCGAATGGAGAGACCACAAGACGCAATCCTTGGGTAGTAGTCCGGGGTGATGTCATGTGATGTCGTAGGCTGGGGTGGCGACCCCCACGCCGCACGTACAGAGGCAGAGGGCTACGGACTTCAAGCTCACAGTTAGCCCGCAGCCTGTCGATTCGAATGGGTCGACCACAAGTCGCCCTCGTAGGTCGTCGTCGGGGTGGCGGGGGCTCGGAGGGCCTGGGAGCTTCGCTATAGCGTTGAGCCCGTTGCCTCACGATGTGTGCTTGGTGCGGTTGCGGCGTCGGTGACGCACCGAGTCCGTGACGCACCGTCTCCACGACATTTAGATCCTATGTTTCGGAGGGCCGTCTTGCACAGAGTCTGTGAAGCACCAACTCCGTGACATTTATGTCGTGTTGCGGGGGGAACGATCCATGCAGACCTCCCCAAGCCGTCCTCTGTGCGCGTGCTGGGGAACCTTGGCTCCCCGCCCTCCTGGGACCACGAAGTGTGTGAGTGTCTTGCCGACATGCGGCGGGCCGCCTAGCGGACCCTGCCAATTGGGCCCGCCCGAGAAAACCTTGGTTTCACTTCCTTCTGGGACCACACGGTGCGCAAAGGTCAGGCCGAAATGTGGCGGGACGCCCAGCGGACCCTGCCAGTGGGGCCCGCCCGATGGGAATTTGGGTGGGCGAGGTCTGCATGCACTGCCGTGATGCAACATCGTGAGGGGGGGAGACGAGACGAGCGCCGGTTACCGCTCCGCACGGGGCCGCGGGAGCGCACCATGAAGGCGACGCCGGTGGGGCCGTGGCCCCTCACATGAGGTAGTCCTTGAAGTGGGGAGAGCTGGGGGGGAGCTGGATGGAGAGAGTGCTGGATGGGCAGGGGGCACGGATAGGGGGCACGGGATGGAGGAGCAAGTGCATGTAACAGAGCCTGCCTAGGAGTGCTCCCCAGGCCGGATTCCGACACGGGGATCTGATCTTGAGGCACAGAGGCAGAGAGCTACGGACTCCAGAAGTTCAAATGCAGCCCCCCGCCTGTCGATTCAGTTGGATGTGCCATTGCTCCTCCCAGTGGACTATTCTGCTCACGTGAGTGGGGCTCGGGACTCAAATCCCTATTCCGCACCTCGGGATAGATGTCAGGGATTCCGAGGCCGAGAGCTACGGACACGAGTTCACATTCAGTCCTTGGCCAGTCGATTCAGTTGGAGCGACATCTGACACGTGCCCGCAGTTTGTGGTGTTGGCCCCTCATGCGTTGCATCACAGACAATCCGCGATTCGACGAGATCGCCAAACCCCCAGCATCAGTCAGATTTCATGGTGGTCGCCATTTTCCCTTTGAAGAAAACATGCGTCCAATAACCGAGGGCAGAAGTGGGTGGTCAGGGGAGATGAAGAAGGAGCAAGCCAGAACCAAATATATAAATGCAAAAGGCGGACCACTGCGAAGGCAAGTTCATTTTTCCCTTTTGAAAATGCCACCCCGTAGGGCCCTGAATCCTGAGGATCACCAACGGGCATGGGGTGAGGAGGGGGTGGAGGCCAGCGAACGCGATACTGAGGTGGAACAGCAACTCATCATCATACTGTCATCTGCCATCCCCCGTTGTTGGCCACTATTCCCATTCGTCGAAAAAAACACCACAAATTGACTGGTGAATGGAACCACCCATGCCCTAACAGACAGCCGTGACTATCCTCCTCCTTCTCCTCCTCCTCCTCGCCTCCTCCCCCTCCTCCTCCTCCTCCTTCTCCTCCTCCTCCTCCTCCTCGCCCTCCTCCCCCTCCTCCTCCTCCTTTTTGTCCTCCTCCTCCTCGTCGTCGTCCTCCTCCTCGTCGTTTCCCTCCTCCTCCTCATCCTCCTTCTCTTCTTCCTCCTCCTTCTCCTCCTCCTCCTACCGCAGCCTCCAGCGTGCCACCGCACGTCGCGGCTGCGGCCCCTGCTCCCGCGACGTCGGAGCTCGCGCTGTCGACGGCGAGGGCGAAGGGCTTGCGCGCTGCGTAGCGGAAGAGCACCTCGGAGGTCACTCCTCCTAGGGGCTCCTCCTCCTCCTCCTCCTCCTCCTCGTCATCATCATCATCATCATCATCATCATCATCATCATCATCATCATCATCATCATCATCACCATCACTATCACCATAACCATCACCATCACTATCATCATCATCATCATCATCATCAGCAGCATCATCACCATCAGCATCAGCATCATCATCATCAGCATCATCATCACCACCATCACCATCATCAGCAGCATCAGCATCAGCATCATAATCATCATCAGCATCGTCATCGTCGTATCATCTTCAGCAGCAGCAGCATCAGCATCAGCATCATCAGCATCAGCATCAACACCATCACCATCATCATCATCAGCAGCATCATCATCAGCATCACCATCAGCAGCAGCATCATCATCGTCATCATCATCAGCAGCATCATCACCATCACCATTCTCATCATCATAATCAGCATCAGACTCATCATCGTCATCATCAACATCGTAACAATCATCATCAACACTGTCATCATCATGAGTACCAGCACCATTATCATCAGCACCAGCAACAGCATCATCAGCAGCAGCACCAGCAGCATCATCACCACCACCATCACCATCATCATCATCATCACCATCATCATCATCACCATCATCATCATCACCATCATCATCATCGTCATCATCATCATCATCCTCATCCTCATCATCATCAGCAGCAGCATCGTCGTCATCAGCACCAGCATCATCATCAGCATCATCATCACCATCCTCATTATCATCATCATCGTCATTATCATCCTCACCATCAGCATCATCATCACCATCTTCATCAGCATCATCACCACCAACAGCATCATCATCAGCAGCAAAGTATCATCACCAGCATCACCACCACATCACCATCACCATCATCAGCATCCTCATCATCATCACCATCGACATCATCACCATCATCCCCATCATCAGCATCACAATCATCATCATCGTCATCATCATCACCAGCATCAGCATCAGCATCAACATCAGCATCATCAGCATCAACATTATCATTACCATCAACAACATCTGCATCATCAGCATCATCATCATCAACATCATAGTCATCATCCTCTTTCACCCTCCCCTCGTTCTCTTTCTCCTCCTCATCCTCCTCATCATCATCCCGTTCATCCTCCTCCTCATCCTTCTCCTTCTCCCTTCCTCCTTATCCCTTGCATCCTGTTCTGCCTCCTCCCCTCCTCCTACAGCTTGTCGTCCTCCACCCTGTTCTGCCCCTCTACTCTCTCTCTCTCTCTCTCTCTCTCTCTCTCTCTCTCTCTCTCTCTCCCCCCGCACCCATCCCTCATTTCCCGTCCCACTCGCATTCGTATCCACTTCGCTCCACCCCCCATGCTGCTCCCCCTCCCGGCCCGTTCCCTGGGCACCGTGAACTCGCTCTCTGGAGCGGATGGCCGCAGATCGAGCGCCTCGCTCCACACCTGGAGGGGGAGCTCACCTCCTTCCTCCTGCCCCTCCTCCTCCTCCTCCTCCTCCTCCTCCTCCTTATCCTCCTCCTCCTCCTCCTGCCCCCTCTCATCCCTCCTCCTGCTCCTCCTGCGCCTCTGTGCAACTGCTTCAAGAATGGAAGGCGCCCCTTCTTCAAAATGCGGCTCTCGCCTTAGGGCCGCGCGCCTTTGCTTTAAACGTTTGCAGCAGTTTCAAGGGCGGCTCATTTTCAAAATGAAGCTCTCGCCCTAGCGCATTCGTCTACAAGGTCTGCAGCAGCTTCAAACACGGAG